GTCTGCAAATATTTGTAGGTTTTTCTATATAGTTTCAATTTCCAAGTGCAAAAATTAATCTCAGGAAAAGACAAGAAAATACAATTTTTTTTTTTTCTCCTATCTTGCAGACCCCTGTCCACTACAGATTTGAGCACTGTAGTTTTTTCAGAATCCTTGATGCAATTTATACAACAGCTCTGGAACACACCTATTGACCTGATGTGGTAGAGCTATGAGTTCATATTATTGTGTCAAAGTGGTCTGAATTAAAAAACTCTCCTATGATCTAAATCTGATAAAAGTTTTCAAGTGTCAAATTAACAGCAAAAGATTTATCTGTAAAATTGCACAGAACTGAAAAAATTAATCCCATTAAACAGTTGAAAGACTGTGAGGTAAACTACTCCATAACTTAGGAAATATCTAATTGCATCCAAATCAGGGAGAATTCCTATCGAGAAAATGTGTACAGTACCAAATATGTATTTCCCTGAATTGGAGATTCTTCCTGCTGGACTTTGTGTGCTATTATGTTGATTACATGAACAGGTCTGGGCATGTGTTGCACATTCTGTGTTCATGGAAAGCTGTTTTGCCTTGCCAGAGCTGAGGTTTCAAGGGAACAGGGATAGGAACTGGGTTTGCTCTATCTGTAGGGACCAAAACTGAAAAGTGCTAAAAAAAATTAGTGTGTTGTAATGGCATTCCGGATCAAAGGTGGAAAGTATTAAATCTTCCTTCATTTTTTAGTACATGCAGTGTGCTCTGATATAGCCTGTCTGTCACTGATCATTTTTACCTGATAACTCTCTAATCTGTGTATACAACTTTGGAAAAAGGCAGATAGATAGATCAGGGATCAGAGGATGAGGTACTGCTGGAGCTGCTTGTGACTATGAGAACTTTCCTAAAAAATGTGTTTCTGCAAAGCCTTGGGATTTTTATGTTGCAAACATCTTACCCCTAGATATATCAAGAGCAGGTATGTCTACATCTTAGGCTGCTGTGTTGTTTGGACAGTTTATATATTGGAAGTAGACTAGACTCAGCACATGACACTAGTTAATTTACTCTGTTTCTCAGAGCAACAGCAGAATAAATTAAACAGTATAGAGCTCCACTACTTAAGTACCTAAACTAGCTTGGAATTTCTGTACTGTCTGCAAACCCAATTTAGAAACTGTTCACTTCAGAATACAGCCTTTAGCCTCCTGAATTCTCAGGATGGGACACAGTCTGGGGCACTATTGCAACTGAGTGTCACTGTGATGCACACCACTCCTCCAGTAGATCAATATTTGATATAGCAAAGCATGGTAGATGCATGGCCAAAAGCAGAAACATGTAATTCCAAAGTTAAAAGCATGAGTCTTTATATCCTGGGATCAAGTTGAAAATGGTCAAAATCCCACTTCCTGTGTACTGGGACAAAAAATGCCACTAAAAATGGAATAGATATTACTTTGTACATAAAATGCCTCAACTTTTAGATACAATATCCACTACAAAGTAAATTTCACCTTCTCTGCTTAACCCACTCCAGGCAATCAATAACAGCAAGGTTTCAAGGCTTTGCCATTTTGTTTTCTGCTTCAGACACTTACTATGTAAGGTGTTAGCATAAGTACTCCACCCCATCACCTAGTGAATCCAGTAAAATAATTGCCCAGAAGCTTTTGGTCTTTAGAGCAGCAAAGGTATTTATTTGTCAACATCGGGAACAAGCAAGGTTATCACCACAAAGCACTTGTTCAAAGGTATTGGTGCAAAACAGGGTAATTTATACAGTCTAACTTCTATGATTACATCTTAACATACATATCATATGATTGCAACATCTAATAATACATATTGATAATAGGTGGAGTATAGGTGGAGCTCAGGCAGAGCTTGGGGCAGAGCTTTTCTTGGCCCTTAATTCTGGGGGTACATTTGCCTTTCTTCATCATTGGGGCTGGGGTCTCTGTAGTCTTCCTCAATGTGACCTCTCTAACTTTCCATTGTCTTTGCCCCAGTCACTGAAGCTTGGAGAGAGCCTTGGCTTCAGGCCTATTCCACCTATTCAAATGTCTACCTTGGCTTACTTTGCCTTAATTTATGGCCTAGAGACCCATTGTATAATGTTTCTAGCCTTCTTCTTAAGATTAGGTCCAAGGAATGGAACCGAACAAATTTTTCTTTAGCAACATAGGCAGAGCAGATATGGAGGGGAGAGTTTTCTCAGAGCAAGATACCTTGGTTAACTCTCTTTAGGCCTTGCTCTCGTTTCACTAGGAAGGGGCTCAATATGGAGTGAAGAGCAGGTCACAAAACCAGGTATTACTTGGCCACAGGGTAACGTTTTCGCACAGTATTCCCGACCCCGGAACAGGACTACAAGTCGCGGTAGTCACAGACAACCTGATCCAGACAAGCGCAGTGTGGCGCCGAAACCAGGAGACATCCGAGTTACCTGGGCTCCAGCCGGCCTCAGGGCCACAGCGACTCCCGCTCATCTCGCCCCGGAATGGACAGCCTCTGCTGACCGAGGCTTTCCCCGGGCGGGCGGCGAGGCGAGGCGAAGCCGGCGGCCAAGGCCACGCCCCTCAGGCCTGAGCTCCGCGGCGGGCGCCGAACATTCTCTCCAGGCGGGGCAGGCAGAGTACCTTCACCACCGGGAGGCTGCGGCGCCGCTGGAGGCGGGGTTCTGAAACTACCTACTCCATCCCAGCTCAGTCCTGCTGATCTTTCTGCTTCTTCCCTACCTGGCCGTCTCTGGCTAGAACTCGACGGCTGCCATTGGCTTAGCGGCCTCATCCGGGCACTCAGCGCAACGCTGCTGCTCAGCTCGATCGTCCCAATATGGCGGAGGTGAGTGGGGGAAGCGAGCTAGGGCGTTGGAATTCGGCTGGCTCCCTGCGGGGTCCCGCTGCTGGCAGGCCTCCTGTGCCCGTCTCACCATCCCCATAAGGCGCTTCTGGGACGCCTTGGCGGCATGGGGTGGCTGGTGAAGCGGCTGGCAACCCCTGGGCACTGGGAGCCTGCGCGACTAGGCCGCGCGGCGGGTGCCGCGCAGCGCGGGTCCCGAGTTCGCCGCCCGTGGGCGGCCGGCAAGCCGCGGCCGGGTGCGCGGCCGCCGCACCAAGCCAGGGGTCGCGGGACGGGCCAGTGGCGGCGCCGCCGCAGCGCGGGCGATGGAGAAATGCTCGGCGGGAGGGAGGAGGAGCGAGACCTGGGCCGGCAGCGGGAAAGAGGCGGCTTGTCCGGCTCCCTCTGCCTGCTCCTGTCACGTCCTGCTGGGGTCGGAAGGAATGGGAGCGCCGGGTCAGGCGCGGCTCCTGGGGAGCTTTTCCAGGGAAGAAGAAAGGACAGCGGCAAGCAAAGAGTGAGCGAGAGAAGGAGGGATGGGAGAGGGTGAAAGCGATGGAGGGGGTGAGTAGGGCGGGGGCTGGCGGGGGAAGGGCGTGAAATGGAGACCCCCTACCTCCTGCTAGGTTGGAGGGAGCCCACGTCTCACCTCGCTCTTCCTTCTCCCCACAGGCTTCCTTTGGGAGTTCGAGCCCAGGTTTGTCTTCGCCCACCTTCTGCCCCAGCACCTAGCCTGCTGTGCGCACGCTGATTTCTGCTTCCTGCTCCTTCCCAAACTTACCTCCTGTTGCTTTCCTAATGCTTCATGTTCATGTAACTAACCGCCTACCTGATTTTTAAGAGGAGATGTGCTCTGTGGAGTTCTTCCTATACCTCTGGTCACAGTTAGTAATTGGCTGCTCAGAACCCAAAATGAAAATAAAGTTTTGTAGCATCTCAGTAAAGCCATGTAGCCTGGAGAGAGATCTCTTCTCCTGCTGCTGCTAACTGCAGGGTTGTGTAAATTTTTGATTTCTTGATAATATCAGAAAACGTTTTAAATCATAATGATATGTACTTTTTAAGGCTTTAACTACTGTTCAGGTTCTTTGGAATATTTACACAAGGAAGCATATTTAACATCAGCAGACCTACTCATGAAAAATATTTGGGGAATGCATTTGCTTCTGTGTACTTGCTCTCAGCATTGGCTAAACACTAGTATGTAAGAACTAGAAGGGGAAACTAGAGGTGAAAGAGAAACATCCTAGCCTGTTTCTTTTTCATGAAAGCCTTAAGAAAGTGAATATTGAAAAACAAAACAACTTTGAATTTCAGTAATTTTTATTGTAGAACACTGATATTGCCATGCAGAATATTTACATCTTTAAAACTTGTTGAATCTAATGATAACCTTTCTAAGAAATGCACTTAACAACAGTACTGTTTTGATGATGACTTCTGAGTATCATTTTGAGTAATGAAAAAGTGTCTGTTGGACCTCAGAGCTATATCACAATGATTTGTTAATTACTGTGATCCATTAGAAGTGTTTTGTTATTTCTGGTATATTTCCCTCCATATTTCTTGAAAGTCTGCTATGTTTGTTCTTCCTTTTTAGATCAATTGCTAAGAATTAGTTTTATTAAAAGATCTCATCTGTGAGACTAATCTGAGTCTCGCTGCTTATTTTGCTGTTGTTAGGAAACTTGGTTGCAACCTAAGTTAGCTGTTTATCAGTGAAAAGCTATGCTAGTTACCATATAAATCACAGAATCTGAATCTATAAATCAGTGTCTTACAGCATCTGAAATCCTGTAACGTGGATGTTATACTGTAATGATGATTTCAAGGATCTTTAAAACATTCTTTTATTCAGTAAAATGTTAATTTGGGGTTGTACTTTCAGAAACTTTGTTTCAATGGTTTAGATACTTTTCCCAAGTGTATATATATATACACTGCAAGAGAGAAAACTGCACCTATTACTTACAATTACAAAAAGGGAAGGCCAGCTAAAATAGTTGAGTTTGTCAGGTAGTTAAGAATTTGTTCCATTTATTCTATGAGAGTTCTGACCCTGTGTGTAAAAACTCATGCAACCTTATTTTTTTTGTGATGTAATTTTATATGTTGATATAGAAAAAAAAAATTACTCAAATTGGGTTTTTTTCATAGTTGGCTCTTTATCGTCTGAGGATCATGACTTTGACCCTTCTGCTGAAATGCTGGTACATGATTATGATGATGAGCGAACTCTTGAAGAAGAGGAGGAAATGATGGAAGGAAACAAAAATTTCAGCTCTGAAATTGAAGATTTAGAAAAGGTAAGAGTGACTTGCTCTCTCATAAATGTCCATATATGTTGTAGCTTTTTAGTGAAAAGAACACTCAACCTGTTCTTTAGTTTATATTGTATAATGCAGTTTCCTGCAAAATTCCTTTGGAGTTTTTTTTAAAAAAAGATTTAAAATTTGTGTTTGGTTAGGATATAGCAGTGCATCCTCACGAAAAGACTGACCTTAGCTTCTCAAAGTTACAAGTGTTAAGTTCAGATTCTTCTTTTTTATTTAATAATCCTTTCACTTTGGAAATTACTGAAGCAGGTTTTAGAGTCCTATCATCTAATATCCCTTATCACTTTTAAGTTTTATAAGTTGGAAATAACTTTAAATTGTATGTTAAGTGACAGGTAACTGTGTTTCATTTTGTTGGTCAGATTTTGGTTTTCCAATCTGGAAATAGTCCTATTTTACACATATTTTTCACATTCATTTTCTAAATAAATTGTAGTTACACATCTCAGTTTCATCAGTTTGCTGGTTGTACAAAATGACTAGTGTGCTCCTTGGCTTTTCGTATTCCTTTTTACACTCTTTAATTACATGTTTTTTCTGTTTATACCGCTTGTTCATCTGTGTCAGTGCATCACCCATTTTAAACACCTGCTGAATGCTGAATATCCACAAACTGATGCTGCTTGCATTACCATTCAGTGACCCACTTACACCACTCAACATAACTGCAGATTTTGATCAACAGAGTTCCAGGAAAGTGTAATTTTTAGTATTAAATAGGAGGATGTGCTTTTGTAGTCCATTTAAAAACAAATTTTCTAAACTTGTGGGTTTTTTGTTTGGTTTGGTTTTGCCTTGCTATCTTTTGCAATTATATTTCTGCTGGTTATGAACTTGCAATTATAATACCGAAGCAGCTTGCCAAGTCTGGTGGTTAAAATGGATTTGTTACTCCACAAAATGATCTTATTGCTTCTATAAAAGAAAGAAAAAGAACTGAGAGGCACTCATCTTAAACACTTTAGTACTTTATGTCCCAATTCTGGAAAGACTTGGACATGAATTTATGTTTACCCATTGTGAAAAGCCTTTGCAGGGCTAAGACCTTAGCTGATTAAAGAAAACAAGTAATTTAATCAGTGTATCATTTCAACAGGAAATTTTTTCAGGTAATATAACTTTTAAAGGTATAAATTATTGGAAAATATTTCTAATTATTTGATGACTTGAATCTGGTAACTAAACAAAAATTCTCCACAGTTTGTTTTATTAACTGTGTTAGAATGCAAGTATGATGATATTTAGTAAAATAATTTGATAAAAAACTGTTGGAAAAAAACAAGTTATAAACCAAACCTTTCTCTTGATTTTTTTCATCTGTATCATTAGCTGTTTTTCTCCTATTACTTTCTGTACTGGTCTTGGCTGGGGTAGATATAATTTTCTTCCTAGTAGCTAGTATGGGGCTATGCTTTGGATTTGTGCTGAAAACAGTGTTGATAACACACAGATGTTTTAGTTATTGCTGAGCAGGGCTTACACAGAGTCAAGGCCTTTTCTGCTTCTCACACTGCCCTGCTGCTCGGGGACTGGCTGGGCATCAGTTGGTTGGTGGTGAGCAATTGTTTTCATTTGGATCATTTGTTTTCCTTGGGCTTTACTTCCCCCCTCTTTTTTTTTCCTTTTCCTTACAATGTCTTTAAAAAATTATTATGTCTTTTTAAATAATAAACTGTCTGTATTTGAACCCAAAGGTTTCTTTTTCACTCATCCAATTCTCTTCCCCCCATCCCATGGGGGGGGTGTGGAGGGAACGGCTGTGTGGTGTTTAGTTGCCATCCGGGGTTAAGCCACAACAGTCCTTTTTAGTGCCCAATGTGGGGCACAAAGGGTTTGAGATAGCAGATTTGACCATAACATATTAGGAGGAATTTATGTCTGTTAATAGTTGCTGGTCACGATATTGATTTATCTGCTCTTGATATTAGCTTATCTGATTTGTGCCATGCTCCTTTTTTTTTGCTGTACATGTTAAAGATTGGTGTTGGCTTTTGCAGTTTACTGTGCTCTGTAGTGCTTAGTAGTGTTTTGCCTGGGAGATTTATTATTAAAACACTGGCCTTGAGCTTAATCTGGTATTTAGACTCTGTATTGAAGCCATTACTGTACTTCAGGCACCATCTCAGGGAGACAATTAACTTCTGAGAGATTTTTTTGTGGATGTAATACAGAATGGCACCTTCACCACCTTCTTTTGTCATGTTTTCTCCCTTGTTACAATAACTCTTCAGTATCTTGAACATCCTTGAGTAGTTTAAATACTTCTATTCATATTTCTTAGGAATATTGTTTCAGCTTTTTCTAAGGTTAACAAGCTATTTAGGAATATGACCCAGGACCCGTGGCAGTGTGGTTATGGGTGGCAAGGCATGTGGGGGAATATGGGCAGGTATTTAGAAAGGTTTACACCTCTGATGGTCTAGAACTTCACTCCTGAACAAGTGTGGAATCCTGATGAAGTGATAGAATGTTTGGGGGGGGGGGAGATGCCCTGGCTATTCCAAAGAGGCAGAAACAATGGAAGCAGAAGTCAACTTGTTTAGTAAGAGATGAAGAAGCTTCTCTTAAGAGAGAGCAGGAGAACGAATCAGAAGAGGCAGTCTGAAAAAGAAATATTAGCAGTATATGAAGGAGTTCAAGCTGCTTCAGAAGTAGTTGGTACTGAAGCACAGCTCCTTTTGGCACCCCAACTATCAGTGCTGGACTGGATGTTCAAAGGGAGGGTCCCCTCTACACATCATGCAACTGATGCTACATGGAGTAAGTGGGTTGCACTGACCACACAATGGGTTTGAATGGGGAAACCCTGACCGCCCAGGAATTCTGAAAGTGATTGTGAACTGGTTGAAACTTCAGAATGTTGCCAGAGGAGGTGACTTGTGCTCGAATCCCCACTGTATAATAAACTACCAGAAAATGAAAAGCAATATGCCCTGTTTACAGATGGATCCTGTCATATTGTGGGAAAACATCGAAGTTGGAAAGCTGCCACGTGGAGTCCTACACAAATTGTGGAAACTGCTGAAGGAGAAGGTGAATCAAGTCAGTTTGCAGAGGTGAAAGCCATCCAGCTGGCTGAAAATATTGCAGAACAAGAAAAATGGCCAGTACTTAATACTGACTCCTGGATGGTGGCAAATGCCCCGTGGGGGTGGTTGCAACAATGGAAGCAGAATAACTGGCAGCACAGGGGTAAACACATCTGGGGCTGCTGCATTGTGGCAAGATATTGCTGCCTGGGTAGAGAACCTGATTGTGAAGGTACTGAAGAACAGTGAAACAATAAGCAGGTGGACCAGGCTGCTAGAACTGAAGTGGCTCAGGTGGATCTGGACTGGGAACAGAAGGGTGACTTATTTATAACTCAATGAGCTCATGACATCAGGACATTTAGGAAGGAATGCGGCATACAAATGGGCTCATGATTGAGGGGTGGACTTGATGCAACTGCACAGGTTATCCATGAATGTTAAATGTGTGCCATAATCAAATAAGCCAAGAAGCTAAAGCCTTTTTGGTATAGAAGACAATGGCTGAAATATTAGTATGGGGAAACCTGGCAGATTGCTTATATCACACTACCATTAGCCTGCTGTGGCAAGCACCATGTGCTTACAATGGTGGAAGTGACTACAGAAACATCAAGTTTATGGCTGGCAACACTGCAGCCCTGAAAGAATTGGATCAGACAACAGGACTCTTCTGAAATAGCCTCAGAGATACCTGGACCAAGGAGCATGGCGTTGACTGAGTGTATCACATCCCCCATCATGCACCAGCCTCCAGGAAAATCAAATGATACAATGGACTGTTAAAAGCTGCGCTGAGAGCAATGGATGCTGGGACATTCAAGCATTGGGATACATATTTAACAGAAATCACTTGGCTAGTTAACACTAGAGGATCTGCCAGTTGACCTGGCCCTGCCCAATCAAAACTCCATTCACTGTGGAAGGAGATAAGATCCCCATAGTACATATAAGGAACTGGCTGGAAAAAAAATGTCTAGGTTATTCCTTCCTCAGGAAAGGGTAAGCCTATTTGTGGGATTGTGTTTGCTCCAGAACCTGGGTGCACTTATTGGGTAATGCAGAAGAATGGGGGAGTCCAATGTGTACCTTAAGGTGGTTTAATCCTGGGTAAAAATAATCCATCGTTTGAGTTGTATGGTGGGCAGTGCTACACGATTCTGTATGTCACCACTGCTGTGACTGTCACATATCAAAGGTATTATAGCAGGTATCTCTTGCAGCTAACTAAAGTAGAGGGAAGAGAAGAGAGATTCATTGCAATGTTAAAACTTAAAGCCTAGTCCAAAGGGAGTAGGGATGAGGAAATGTAATGGATATACCTTTTAATTGTTGTAACTCATTATTTGAGTTGCATGTTATAGGAATTACTATAGCAGGAACCACTTGAACCACTGAAGGACAAACCTCACAAGAAGCAGTTGCAGTGCAGCAGTGACCCAACCTGATCTGGCTTTAGTGCCCAGTGACTCTATGCAACACACCACCTCTCCTGTCCTGAGTGACCACCAGAACAGATGGAGTCCAAAGTCATGGACTAAATGAATTCAATGTTTTATAGATATTTATGGATATTTTACAGACATTTAACCGGGGGAAGGGGTGGTTAATGAGGATGTATTGCAACAGAGTGGGACCTGAACATGATGTAAATAGTATGGAATAAGGGTTGGAGAATGTACTGGTTTTGGCTGGAATATAGATAATTTCTTCATGGTAGCTTGTATGGGGATATGTTTGGATTTGTGCTGAAAACAGTGTTGATAACATACTGATGTCTTCCTTATTGCTGGAGCAGGGCTTACTGAGTCAGGGCCTTTTCTGCTCCTCACATTGCTGCACCAGTGAGTAGGCTGGGGGTGCACAAGAAGTTGAGAAGGGACACAGCTGGGACAGCTGACCCCAACTGAGCAAAGGGATATTTCAGACCATATGACATCATACTCAGCATATGGGGGGGGATGTTGGCAGGGGAGCTGCTGCTCAGGGACTGGCTGGGCATCGGTTGGTTAGTAGTGAGCAATTGTTTTCATTTGCATCATTTGTCTTTCTTGGGATTTATATTCCTCTTTCATGTTTTATTTTGTTGTGGTCTTTTTTTCTCCTATTTTCCTTGCATTTAAAAAAAATATTTCTTTTTAATGATTAAACCGTCTTTATTTCAACCCATGAGTTTCTTTCTCACTTTTACCGTTTTAATTAGCACCTCCATCCCACCAGGGAGGAGTGAGTAAGCAGCTGTGTGGTGTTTATTTGCCAGCTGGGGTTAAACTACACCTTCTCTACAGTCATTATAAAATATATTGTGCAGAAGATGGAAAAGAGGGATAAAAAATTGTTATATTGGTTTACTTTTGTGGTGTTTTGCATGTTTGCAGTTGTAACTATATAGGACTAAAGTCTTCAAGTTTTTCTACATTTCTTTTTTGTAAGGGGATTGTTAGTGTTCCTAGTATATCTTCTGTCTTGAAGGAATATAGGCAACTCATGTTCTACAGTATGAATCAGATAAGGTGAAAATTTTTAATAATTATTCTTTAGTTTCATACACTAAATGGTTTTCTTCAATAGTTTAATGGGACTTCATTATATGCCAAGAGACATGGTTATGAATTATTTCAGTCTTGTGCCTGAAAATATTTTAGAGTTTTAATCAAGATTCCTACTTTCCATTAAATTTTTCTTGCTTGTTTTTTACTATTGTTTTTCAAAATATGTCTTATCCTTTTAGGCCTGAACTGTTTACAAGTATTTGGCAATATGTTGACATTTTTGTAACTCTTCTTATATTAGGAAGGAAACATGCCGTTGGAAGATTTACTGGCATTCTATGGCTATGAACCTGCAATTCCAGTTATGGCTGGTTCCAGTGTGGATAGCTCTCCAAGTGAACTTGCAGATGAGCTTCCAGATATGACTCTAGATAAAGTAAGTCAGAACTGTTTTCCCCTGTATTACAGTTTAAAAAGTAGAAATCCATGTGACCTTAACTTATATTTCACTATCTGTTGATGTTATAAAACACATATCCTTGTCAATTTCAATATACAATTAAAAGTTACTGTACTTGTGGTGGATTTGGCAGTGTTAATTTTATGGTTAGACTCGATGACCTAAAAGGTCTTTTCCAACCTAAATGATTCTGTGATTGTACTCTGAATTAATTGTTTTCCAAGGATATTTAGGATCTGAATATAATTATAATTATCACACACATGCGTAACAACTTTAGTGGCATTATATTACTACAATTGAGAAATGAATAAGGTTATGATTCTTCTAAAACTCATTCAGAGAACTTTAAATAGATTTCCTTTTTTTTTTTAAGAAGTGGGATTTTTTTCTGAAAAGTTCTGTATTTTATTTTAATGTATGCAATGTCCAGAAATAATAATTCTGGCTTCAAACATATATGTCATGTATCAAACCTTTGTGGATAGCTTGAAAAGTGCATTACTAAATGCTTTGGAATGTTTCTTTCAAATACATATAATTTGTAAAGGTCTCAACATTAAAGGGTGAGAGAGATTGTTTTATGTGCAATTACTATATGTATTGCATTATTGAATATAGAAACATGAAACTTCAGGTTTTGTGATTCGCAGGCTAACTTTGAATTCTAAGATTAATCTGATTTTTTTGACTATAAGGCATATGTAGCTAGTAGTTTGTATTATAAAATCTGTAGTTGTATTTTTTTTTCTTTCCATAAGTATAATGAAATTATAAACTCCACAGAAAGTAGGGTATAATGATGGCTCTGCACATCTGATTCTCATTAGGAGTCATGATTGTGTTGAGGCTACAGAAATGTAGTCAGCTTGTCTAATACAGTTCTTTGCCTCCCTAATCTCTATACAGAAGGGTTCAAGCATGTCTGGTTGTGGAGGACGTGTGTTCTCACTCCGTTTCCCTTTCTTTTGCCCTCCCATTTACTTGCTCTTGCTTGCCTCTCCTCTTGCTCTATTATGTATTGTCTATTATTTGTAATTCTTCTCAGGAAAAGTCTATGCAAGTGCCTGGTTTTTGTTTTGTGTTTTTGTTGTTTCACCTGTACTCACTCCCCCCCCCCTCAAATTTAAGGGTTATCTGTGATGCAAATAATGACAGATTTTTAAATATTTCCTATTTCCCCTCACATTTTTCATTGGAAGCACTTGGAAGAACATCTGAGATTTGATGCATTACTACTTGTACATTTATTTTAATAGAAGGGGGAAATAAACCTCTGTGTTTAACTCTGAAATGAATGGTTATATTTGTTTTGAGAATTAGGAGTGGACTAGCTTTTTAATTAAGAGTGAACAGTCTGATAAAATTACTTATGATAAAATAGTTCATTTTAATTAATGAGGCTTACAATTTGCTGAATCTAAATGCTCACCAGTCTATACTTAATAGTCAGTCTGAAATTTTGGTTTTTTTTATTTTAATGAAACAGGAGGAGATAGCTAAAGACCTCTTGTCAGGTGATGATGAAGAAACACAGTCCTCTGCTGATGACTTGACACCATCAGTTACTTCACATGAGGCTACCGACTTCTTTCCTCGACCATTAAGATGTAGGAAACCTAATTTTATAATAGTACTCAAAAGGTCTTAGTGTTATATATAGCTTCCTAGTTTAAAATATCAAAATTGCAGAGTGGGATTGAGAAACAGTGCTTTGCAGGAGGTTGTACATGAATATTGTCTTTGATTGGTATTATTGATTACCTAAAAGACCTATATTTAGTACAGTGCTCAAGGCACAAGTACAATTACTTTTTTAAAAAAAATACAGTAGCATTTCAGAATTAATAGTTAGTGTGTCAAGGAACACTCTTTGTAATTTTCTGTATGTTATTGAATTACATGAATGTGTAACATGTTCTTTTAAATTAGTGTTTCTCTACTAAAATTTTTGCTGCTGCTTTTAAACTAGTGACTCCTCTATTCAACCTGTGGATGTGAACTGGGATGTGGTTTCTTTGTGATTATTTCCCTTCACACATTCAACAGTTTTCCATAGGACTTCATGAACCAAAGTGTTTTTATATGGGATGGGGCCTATGAACCCATGACCACCAAAATTTCACTACCCATGGAACTATTATGGGGAAAGATCCAAGAAGCAGTGGTTCAATTATCCAACCTTGACAAGATATTCCTCATTACTCCAACTCTAGTACACCAGTGAACAAATGAATTGCAATAGACAATGTGGAGGATTTTTATCGCAGTTTTAATTTGGCAAGTATCTTGAGCTGTTTCTGGGGGATTTCATCCCTCTAGAGAAAGGGGATGATAAAGGGCACGTGCTGTCTCAGTCATCAGCAATTGTAGCCCTTTTCATGCTGCCAATTGTCTAATGTAAGGCATTTGCATTGAGAGAGATACAAAACCCTTAAAAATTATAATGCCCCTTTTTAGTTAAGCAAACCCTAACCTTGCTGGCACTTAAACATTGCTTGTGAACTGTTAATGAATATGACACTGAAAGTGGCAACTTTGTGGAAAGAATTATTAGCCCCTTCATCTTACTCAGGATTAAGAAACAGTCATCTTTACTTTTAGCTATTGTGGTTTTTCTATCAGAATGTTGTTCTTTCTCTATTAGAACTTTTGGTTGGGTATTTTAAAATAAAATATCCACCATTTCAGGGAGAGAAATGTCAGTTTTCTGTGCTGTTGACAGTTTCATCTTTTTTCTGATCTTTGTCCATTTTGCTACGATAACATTCAATTTTAAGATAAACATGTCTAATAAAATGACCTATGTGTTGAATTTGGATTAATCGGAAAAATAATTGCATATTATTATCCAGGCATGTTGTTGTTTCATGCATTCATGTTAGCTTCTTGCCTACTACTTCTGTCAGCAAAAAGAGATAGACTGGTGATTGTAGTAATCACTACAGAAGAGGAACCTCAGTCCGTAGTCTTGGATACGGTCTTTGATGTTGATGATTCTGTTTAGTTGTGATGAAACCAGAATTGAAACCCTATTTATGAGCATGTTATTACTGAAAATTGAGAATATGAAATAGCTTTTATCTTATCAGAACTATAGATTCCATTCTGCTGGAGATAAAATAAAAAAAAGTAGAATTACTTCAGAACCCAGAACCAGAGAGTTCCAAATTCTAAAATATGAGTTATTCTGTGGAGTATTTCAGTAATTTTGCTGTATTTCTTCCTAAGGAAAAAAATATTAAAGAGGAATAAGCAGTCTTTTGTTGTCTTTTGCTTATTCTGTTTTCTGTATATGGATTATATCTTTAGTCCTTGCTAAGGTAGCTTTGTTTAAAGGAATGTTTTGAATGCCAATTAAAACTTCAGATGAAAGGCTTCAGTAGGTAATAAAGACTCGCTTTCAACTTTACTTTCTTTGTGATTAATGCATGGCTAAGTCATAACCCTGGAAGTTTTCTGTTTTTCTCACACCTTTGCTATAAAGTATAAGCCTTTATTGAAGAAAATCAATGAAGAAAAATGATCTAATTTTCTTTTGACTGTTAGAAATATATTAGATTGTCTTAGTTGCAATAATGGTAAATGTTTGTTCTGCTATATACAAGTACCAATGCTTTCTGACTTCATGCTAGTTTGATAGAAATGTAGATCAGGAGACTCATGATGAGGGTCTCCCAGAATAAAAGCAGGACTCCTTTCAAAAGTAAAGAATATCTTGTTTTGTGTTTAAACTGAAAATTCTTCCTAGCTAAAACCAACTTATTTTTGTCTGAAGCAAACACTACGTGTGATGGAGATAAGGAATCAGATGGTGAAGATCTAGAGGCAGACAATGGTAATTCATCTGAAGATTTGAGAAAGGTAATATCTTAAGAAAAAGGTATGAAAAATTTTACTATTAAAAATGCATTAAAATTTATATATCTAAAATGGAAAATCTCTGCAAAATCCCATGTTAATGGAATTTTTAATGCTTCCATGCACAGAATATTAAGCTAATACCCTTTTCTTATGATTTTTGTTACATCTTCAGGAAATAATGGTTGGTTCACAGTATCAGGCTGAAATTCCACCTTACCTTGGCAGATACAGTGATAATGAAAAGGGTAAGTTCTTCTGTTTTACTCAATGACTTAGTTAAAGTCTCAGGGACCTTAAAAAAAACCCAAACCAAAACAACCAAACAAAATAAACCTAGTCAACTGAAGTAACACAACCATGTAATTCTATCTTGAAAGTGTGATTCTACAACTTTGAGTGGATATTCTCAAGAAGATGTAGGAGTAATATTAGGAGGCAGCAAACTGTGGGTCAAGAAGGAAATATTTTCATCAAGGTATCATAACTGGGCTATGAACATGTAACTTAGTTTACATTGAAGATCTTCAGTATTTTTCTTTGCTTGTTTTTTGGCTAGCACGACAGTGCAGGTTGCAAAATGGATATGAAAAGCAAAGAAATTAATTATTTTAATTTTCCATAGCATGAGTAGAAGATGTAGGTCCTGATACACCTTGTCTTTAAAAAAAAGATGTTTTAATTATGATGTTATTGCTGTGTAAATTTAGGTTAAAAACTGAAATTGTGCTAGAATAGAAGAAACAATTTTATTTAATAGAGTTTTATTAGGTATTTTTAGAAACCTTCACTGGCTGGATGCATTAGCAAGTGAACATCTCATGTGTTGCTTAAGAGACCTATGGAAGTTTCATATTTTCTAAGATTCAAACATGATGCTTATTGGTTGTAAGGAATGGAAGAGTGATAATCAGTTTTATCTGAATACTCCTTTTACTATGTACACATCTTGACTTCTCCTTGGCCAAGAACTAGAGAAGGGCCAATAACCAGAGGATGATCAGGAAGGTGCTAATCTGGCAGCTTTCTCTGGAATGAGCTGGTGCTAGAGAGAACCAGTGAGAGTAGTCTACTGGCATAGCCAGGAGCAAAGAGGTAGTTCCCAGATGGGAGAGCCTGAGGAGTTCCTCTTGAGACTATCAGGCATGGTTTCCAGTGAGAAGTGCTGGGTTGTCTTGGTTGATAATTGAAATTGAAGCTGAGCTCAGCAATGCTCGGAGAGGTTGGACGTGGCTGTATAGGTGGAGGATTCTGTTAAAAACCTCTTTTGTACTCCCTGAAGAGCTTGTGATGGCAAACTTCATATTTCTGCTATGAAGTCACAGCTACTGGAATTGTGCTAGAAGGCAATTCTGCTCTTCTATAAACCTTACACTTGTAACATGTCTGAAAGCTTTCCATGTTCTTAAGTCACCTTAGATTAATATTCTTTCCTGCAGTTTTATGAGAGAATTGAGAATCTTCATCTCTTCTACTGTAACTGCCATTATACTTGAGTGTGTTTGAATTTAATAACTCTCATTTGTATTGCCAAGAGAGTACATAAAACACTATGTGTAAACACATCTATTGATCAGAGTAAAGGATTTGTAGTTTAATCTAGAATTTAAATGTGTGCACAGACAAAGGTTCAGGCCAACTCTTGAGTATTTCCAATATATTTCAAATAAACTACTTAAGAGGTGCATACATGATTTCAGTATACTATGAAGGAGGACTATACATCATGATTGCTTGTAAAATATGGAACATACGAGTTGTTATAAGCATCCAGTTGTTAGTGAACGGAAAAAGAAATTATCACATTGAGACCTAGATTTCCATTCTGTTAGGTAAGTTTTAGCAAATTTTAGTTGAAAATGACCAGTTAGCTGACACCTCTTGTTTTTGGTTTGTTTTATATGCAATATTTGAAATAATAAAATACACTCTTTTACTGTAAACTATAGCCTATTTGTTGTAAGCAGCTGAATAAAACTGAGTGGTTTTGCTAGGTTTTTTTAAATGAAGATGATGAATACAGTGAGGTTGGATCAAGGGTTGGACTTGATGATCTCGGAGGTCTCTTCCAACCCAGTTAATTCTATGATTCTATGATTCTATGAATACATATACATAATTTGACATGAATCATCTAGCTGTCAACAAGCTGCTCCTCTGTAAAGATTGTCTCAAGAGCCAGTCCTTTATCTCATGCTCATGGAACCTGAATCTCTTCACCATACCACACTGAAGAGTCTCCCTCTTAACTGAGGCTTTTTGGGGAGAAAGTGAGCTGCAATTTAAAAGTGGCATGACGGTGATTTATTTGATTACTTCTGTATTCCTGTTCTTAGCCTTAAAAATGTCACACCTGTTATTAATGAATTCTGTTTTAACAGCCTATGAAAATGAAGACCATTTACTGTGGAAACCTGGTGTGATCTCAGAAAGTAAAGTTAAAGAATACCTTTTTGAAACCTCCTTAAGAGCAGAAAATGAAAATATGATTGGCAGGATTTCTGAAGGACTACATACACGGGACAATGAACAAGTATATTTTATATCCTGTTCTATTTTTTTACATTGCTTTGTAATTAATGTGTTCTGTTTCTCTACCTTGTATTATAAAGGCAGCAATATTCTTTGGTTGGTTTTTTTTAGATGTTATTGGGGTCAGGATCTTATTTGTAATTTTAAGCATGTGCTTAAAATGATGAGTATTTGAATGTTGGCAGTGTTGTGATCTGTGATGTTCCTGATTGACATGCTGTTGACAAATCCAGCTTTTCTAATTATTGGATATAATGCTTTACATTTACTTAATTAAACTTTGCCTTAATATTTGTATGGTGTAGGAATAGATACATTTCTGGAAGAATTTGTAATGGAAAGTTACAAGTCGTTTTGCTAGGAAGGCTTTCTGCCTAGGTAGTGGCTCTTACTCAAAGGCAGTTTCAATGCTTTCCCCTCCCCCCCATAGCAAGAGAAGTTCTCAGCCTTACTCTCTGGTATGCAGAGAGATAAGTTTGCAGTCATGTACAATGCTTCCTTGGGTCAGAGAGAGTGGGGGAGGAGAGAGAGAGAGAAGATACAAAAAGCTTTGCAGGAGGAGGGGCAGTGCCTTTGCCCCTCGGGCCCAATGCATGCAAAATCATAAAAAAGTGGTCCTTGCATCTTAAATAAACCTTTTTTTTAATCCTTCCCCTGCCTTGGCATTCTCGGGAAGAATAACTGTGTATTTTTACCTTACAGATGGTTTTACTTTTGGTTGTTGTTTTAAAATTTTCATCCTGTATAAAGATAAATCTTTTTTTACGTTACATATGTTCACTGAAAGGCTTGTTCAGAAGTTTAGATAGGATATTTGCACACTTTGACTCTTTCTAAAGACGACTTCTATTTTATAGGCACTATATGAACTTCTCAAAAGTAACCATAATATTAAAGAAGCAATTGAGAGATACTGCTCAGATGGAAAGGCATCTCAGGGTAAGAGACTGTTTAAGAAACATGTCTTTGGAGGGGGAGGATAAATAAATGAAAAGTTGTGTAGAAAAACCATGAGTGAGATTCAGATTGATGAGCCAGAACTCGGGGTGAGGCCTCACCAGTGCAGAGCAGAGCAGGACAATCCCCTCCCTCACCTGACTGGCAATGCTTTGCCTGATGTTCCCCCTTGGACATGGTTGGCCCTCCTGGTTGCCAGGGCACTGCTGACTCATGTCGAACTGGCCATCGACCAGGACCCCCAGGTGCCTTTCCGCAGCACTGCTTTCCAGCATCTCATTCCCCAGTCTATATGAACATCCAGGGTTGTTCTATCCCAGGTGCAGAATCCAGCACTTTCCCTTGTTCCACTTCATATGGTTGGTGATTTCCCAGCTCTCTAATTTGTTGAGATCTCTCTGCAGGGCCTCCCTGCCTTTGAGGGAGTGAACAGCTCCTCCCAATTTAGTATCATCAGCAAACTTACTTAGCATTCCTTCCAGTCCTGTGTCCAAGTTGTTAATGAAGATGTTGAAGAACACAAGGCCTAAGATGAAGCCCTGCGGAACCCCACTAGTGACAGGTCACCAGTCTGATGTCACCCCATTCACTATTACCCTCTGTGTTTGACCCGTGAACCAGTTGTTCACCCACTGCATGATGTGTTTATCCAGCTGTGGGCTGGACAGTTTGTTCAGAAGGATCCTGGGAGAGACAGTATCAAAAACTTTACTGAAATCCAAAAAGATGACATCAACTGGCTTCCCTCGATCAACTAGGTGGGGAACCTTGTCCTACAAGGAAATTAAGTTTGACAAGCAGGATTTTCCTCTCATGAAGCTGTGCTGGCTGTGACCAATGACTGTGTTGTCCTTCGGGTGTTTTTCAATAATTCCCATTAGGTATATAACTCAGATTAGGTATAATTGGACTTTTGGTCAGATTTAGATTTCTACTGGAGAAATTTGTAACTTGTATAAAGGTTACAGGATCAGATTTTACATCTTTTCTTCTTTCCTCTGTTTCCTTTGCTGTTTTAAGAATGATACACACTGAGGAGAAGGATGGAGGGGGAGTTGTGATTTTACTCCCATAAGACAGTTTTCTCCCACATTACAGTGCTTTTCTGAGATCATGGTCAATTATAATCTGATGACATTTATACCATAATCAGGAAAAAATAACTGATAATGACTGAGCCCCACTCTTCATCACTGTGTTAACATTGTGCTATGTCAACCCTAAACTGGTTCTACTGTATAGTTGTATGGGTCTTTGGTAGAGTGTGGAGAGATTTGCTTGAGTTAACAGTGGAAAACAAGCTTCTATCTTGTTTGTCCCTAACTTTATTACTCCTTTAAATAAAAATCAGTGTGTATCATTTAGCAAAGGCAGTTCTTTGTCCTGTATTTTAACATGTTCCATAAAGCAGAAATAGACTATGAACCCTGGTATAAATTTGTATTCTCGCAGATATTCTCTACTCAGAACTGGATCCAAGGGGAATTTGAGTGTTTATGAGTTAGGTGCTGTGAAAGCTAAGTATCAAAGGTAAAACTGAAGGGAACAATAAGGAATATCAAAGCGATGTTTCAGAAAACTCTTTTACAAGAAGAGATTGTGTGTCAGAACCCCAAATTCTGTCCTAAGGACTAGTACTCATCCCCTCCCAGGCACTAAGACAGATGGGATTTATACTCATTTAAAATGGTGAAGGGGGATAATACTGTTAATGCTTGTCTCTTAAAGTAACCATTGTGCAATGATGTACTCTACCCGCTGAAGTTCACTGCTATTCTCAATAGGAGTTAAAAATCCACATCTCCCAAGATAATTTCGTAACAGTGAGACTTTACATGGGGGATCTCCTCTTTGGAGCTTGAGAATTCTGTAGTAAGGAGTGCAAAATTAATGACCTTGTAATGGAATGATTATCACCTTCATCTGGAAGCAGAAAGGTCTTTGTTCCAGTGTCTGCTTCCAGAAATGTTTTGAAATCTGTTTGTTGGTTGTCTTTTTGTTCTCCACCCCCATTGGCTTTAAATGACAGCTGAACAGATCACTATTATGAATGTAAGATGCCTGAAATATCTTATCTCTTTTATTATATATAGATACAAAACCATAATCAAGATAAGGAAGAAACAATACTTGAGACAAAACTGACTTACTCAAATAGTTTGAGCTACTTTGTTTTAAAACTCTTATTCCTTTTCAGTGTTTTTTGTTTTGTTTCCTTTAATTTGTAAAACTAAAATTCACTTCTGTCTTCCAAAAGGTTCCTTCACACTTTTTCCAATAGTCACTGTTCATTGCATCTGATGGCAAGAAGGAATATTCAGAAAAATAATCCCACTGTTATCTTAGTCATGTTATCAAATCTTGGTTTTTTGATGACAAACTTTTTAAGAAATCATAAATCAAGTCTTTTGAATGTCCTTTGCCCTCCAGGGTAAAAGATTTCAGAAATCAGACTCTTTTATAAGTCTTTATAAACAGAAATATTAGATTTCAGGTAGGATATCTGTACAGTAGAGGAAAGAACATTGGTCTAAATAATGGAATTGTTACTTTTTTTTTAGAGTGTGTTTGGGTATTCAGGCATTAGCAACACAAATATTTTGTTCTCTGTAAAAGGTTAGTGAGTAAAAATAAGTTTATCATGCTACTTTTGCAATTGTCTAGAAGAGATGACAGCGTGGACAGAAGAAGAATGCAGAAGCTTTGAACATGCACTTCTGATTTATGGAAAAGACTTTCATCTCATACAGAAAAATAAGGTTAGTATTTTACAGTTAAATGGAAGAATTGGTAGATACTGAATATTTGTAAAAGTAATGCATCTTTCATAAGCTATGCAAAGAGTGAAATAAGAGCCAACGTATTAAAACCAGCTTGGTGTTTTTGTGCTAATTTTGCCTCTGATACCATTGGAAAAGTTAGGCATTGCAACATGAGTCAATATATTATCTCTGAAATCAACTTAAGTTGATATTGCTTCCATATATGCATTTATATTATAATTTAGATAAAATGTCTGCCTCTCCTAGAAGTGTATTCTTTTCATACCATGGCTGGAGGGGAAAACACATCTTTAATTAATTTTGTCACTCAGAAGGTGTAATTCTACAGAAATGGGCTTAGCTCTTTGTATTTTCAGAAAGTGTAGTCATCTATCAGTACCATCCAGGTTTCTGGCCAAAAAAGGAGTTCTAATCTTGATTTGAATTGCTTCTGCTTGATTCCTCTGTGACTGAAGAATAGGAATTGGATTTTTTTTTTTAATCAAGTATGTATATCACTTGGTACAGTTGTCATTATGGGTATTTCCAAACTTTCTGTACATCTCCTATATGTTTTGATACCACCTTGAGGTTTTGTACTGGTTTTGACTGGGATAGAGTTAATTTTGTTCATAGTAACTAGTATGGGCTATGCTTTAGACTTGTGCTGGAAACAGTGTTGATAAGACACTAATGTTTTAGTTATTGCCGAACAGGGTTTATGTATAGTCAAGGCCTTTTCTGCTCCTCAGACTGTCCTGCCAGTGAGTAGGCTGGGGGCGCACAAGAAACTGGGAGGAGGGACAGCTGACCCCAACTGACCAAAGGAATATTCCATACCATATGACATCATACTCAGTAATAAAATTTGGGGGTGGAGGTTGTTGGGTGGGGGCTGCTGTGGCTTGGGGACTGACTGGCCATCAGTTGGTTGGTGGTGAACAATTGGGGGTTTTTGCATGTTGCTGGTGGGGCTTAAACCCAACAAGTTTTTTCTTTAGGAGACTGGTGCTTTTGTTGTATTTCAGGTAAACTTTATAGGGTTGTTGTTGCTGTTCAACAACAGTCTCATAGTCCTGTTCAACACTTGACTTAACTTGTTCTATGATAAATATTTGGGTGGTTCAAATTGTAAATGGACCTTACCCATAAACAATAATTCCCCTGAGATACAAAGAAATAATTTTATAATATTTTTTCCAATGTGCAATAAAGCATATGAGTTGATCTATGTCACTATGGACCAGAATTTTATAAGTACCCAACATCTTTTCTGCTTCACTTCTCTTTGGTCATTCCTTTACTCAGTGTTTTCCATCTTGAGAGAGTCTGTCTCTCATAGTTAAAAAAATTACTATGTAGGTTATGAACTGAAATGCTTCAGATGTAGATACAGTTTCAATCTAGTTTAAAAATAACCCAAACCTAAGCAACAGTAATGTTTACAATAGAACAGATGTAGTAATTATTTAGAATAGAATAGACTATTTCTGTTGGAAGGGGCCTACAACGATCATCTAGTCCAGCTGCCTGACCACTTCAGGGCTGACCAGAAGTTAGTGTGTTATTGAGGGCATTGGACAAATGCCTCTTAAACACTGACAGGCTTGGGCCATTGACCACCTCCGTAGGAAACCTGTTCCAGTGTTTGAGCACCCTCTCAGTAAAGAAATTTGAAAGCGTAAATGTCTTTTTCAGGTCTTGTGATTTAATTGATTTGTTCCAGATACTAGAACAGTAAAAGTAACAATATCGCAGGAATATGGGGACTAGGGAGATGACAAAACATAATGCTTTGCATTTATTTTGTCAATTCTTCTTGACTTCTTTTAGGTAAGAACCAGAACAGTTGCTGAGTGTGTGGCTTTCTATTACATGTGGAAAAAGTCAGAACGTTATGATTACTTTGCTCAGCAAACAAGATTTGGAAAGAAGAGATATAACCATCATCCTGGAGTTACGTAAGTAAAATGTCTTCAGAATATGTTTTCTGTTGCAAATTGTAAATGTAGAAGATTAGTTTTTTCTTCCCATCATTGCAGTGCAATGCTGCAGTGGCTATGGCAACTGAAAATAAATCCATCATCATTTTTAGGCCTTGTTTTCCTATTAAATAACTCATTATGAATGCCATATTCTTTAAGTGACTACATGGATCGTTTGGTAGATGAAGCAGAAACCCTTGGTGGAGCAGTACATACTTCAACCTTAACATCTAATACTCAAACAGAAAACATTCCTGATCAACAGCTAAGCATTCTGAACTCTATCACTGCCAATGAGTTGACAGGTAAATCAAAGAAAAAAACCAAACAAAACCCATAAACTTTTTGTTGTAACTATATAAATAACTATTTCATTTACGTTTTATGTCCATCTTTTTTTCCAGCATTAACAAACAGTGTAACTACAGTCTGCCACACTTCAGATGTGAATTGCCTTGATGATGCCTTCCCTCCTATGGACAACTTACCTCGAGCAGCAGTTAATCATGTGCCTGTTGGAACAGAAGATTTACTTAACTTGCCTAGCAATGGTGAAAGTGATTGTTTTAATTTATTTGAGACTGGCTTTTATCCCTCAGAGCTAAACCCTATGAACATGTGCAGTGAGGAGACAGAAAGGCCTACGAAGAGATTGAAAATGGGAATTGCTGTCCCAGAATCTTTCATGAATGATGTCTCAGTAAATAACCTTGGTGTGGACTTTGAGAACCACACACACCATATTACCAGTGCCAAAATGGCTGTTTCGGTGGCTGACTTCAGCAGTCTATCTGCAAATGAGACAAATGGCTTTATAAACACCCATGCTCTTCACCAACATACTGCCCTTCACTCAGAATGACTGTGGAAAACTAAACAAACAGTGGGTATTTTATGCAGTAATAGTAAACTTGATGGGAGCTATCAGGTTTGCTTAGTCTTTCACTGGAAGTTTGAACTTTGACATCAGTGATGTCTTTTTATGTATAGAACTATATCTTGATTTATCAAGAGTAATTTCTTTTTTCAGTTGATAAATGTGGAAATGTTTGGCAGAGTTTGGAACTAAGAGAACTCTGTGGTGCAGCTTTAAGCTCTGCTTCAAATTTCTTTTAAAGCCTGTAGAGAGAGGCTACCATTTCAAAACCAGCACAGAAGTTCTGAACTGATTGGAGTGGCTTTTTAGTCAAAGTTACTTTTGCCATAACGGATGCAGTGTAATAACAGTGTTTACACATACCATTCCTGATCCCTGCTTAATGTAGCATTTTATTTTAAAATTTTTTCTTATAAAGACAGGGATGAATTTCTTTAACTGCACAAACATACAAGAATGTTTTTTAATGGAACCTTCTCTTATGTGATACTAAACTAGAGCACTTCAGTTTAAAAACCAGCAATTTCGTCTTGGTGGAAGGTAGCACAAGGGATTTAACATGAGTAAAGTATGAAGACCTACACTTGGAGGCTGTTGCAAAGTTATAGACCATGGCTACCTTACATAGAAGTAATTATACTGCCAGAGGTATCTGTGTACTTTAAACTTACTGACTTAAACAGATACATTTTAGGCTATTGTATTCAGATAGGTTTTGTCCACAACTTTGAAGATTATTGCACCCGTGTAACTTAACTTTGCTAAGGCAGCTGATGTATAAAGCTACAGTCTGCACATCTTTGGATTTACCACTAAACAGACTACGTATTGGAAGACAGATTGTTTAGAGCACTGCAGTTCAAAGTGTTACAATTTTGAGAGACTATCTAGTTTATATAGAAATAGTAGAACCTTGAAGTATGTATTTGAAAGTTTTTCTTCAGTGTGGATTGTGTTTATTTGTTTTGGCAAGTCATTGGCTCAAAAATGGCCCTTCGCTACCTTGGTCAAATAGAAAAGGATGAGTAAAAATGTTTCCCCTAAAAGCAACTATTTAACTTCAATATATTTTTATTTTGATCACTGAGTGCAATTTAACCATCCATGAAGTTTGTCTTTCAAATGTTTGCTCTAATTCTTATGAGAGACCATTACTTCAGTAGGATTACCTCTTTCCCTCCATACTTTTTCCTTGCACTGTTCATACTACAAATTTAATTGCCATAAACTTGTTTTGATTATTGAAGTGATTAAACTTGCGTTGTTGATATTTGCAATAGTTGCTTCAAGGTTATACTGAGTAATTAAAAAGTAGTGACTTTAATATTTGAAAGGGAAGAGGGTATTTATTATGCATACTGTGAACTGCATTGACATCCTGAGTTATGGATGCAGTGTATGGAGTTTTCTTTACAGCACTGCAATGAAGATTACTTTGAAGCATTTATGCAATAGCACATTTACCGTATTAAAACAAATTAGTTTAGCACAGTGGACAAAAGTAATGTTGCCATCAGTTCTTAACTTATACATCTGAAATATGTAATTCTAATAAGTACACAGTAAATAATGGATAACCTTGACCCTGTGTTGTACTCTGACATTTTAAGACAAGTTGTCAACTTCTTGTTGCTGTTTTTTGTACTGAACTGTGTACCTTGTTTCTTTTCTTTATGAATCAAAACATTTCATGTAATTTTGTAAAATACTGGTCATAATCCTTCGTTGTTATACATTCAAGTTTATGGGTTTACAGTGAGTGGCTGGTCTGTATAAAAATCATTATACAAAGATGACTGAATGCTTATAACAGTTGCATTTAAATGAACATGCCCATTCTTATTAGCTGATGCAGTAATATATTCAATTTATCTATGCATTGCTGGGCTCTTAATGTAGACAGACTTGTCTAAGGTTTGAGTTGTCAGCAAGTTGAATGGACACTTTAGTTATTTAATAAAGACTTTTGACCAAAATTCAGAAAATTATGGGAGAAAAATTAATTCCAGCTAGTCTACTAAATTTTTTAAATGCTGATCTTATTTAGCTTGTTGGCTAGCTAGCTGGTATTGTTTACTTTTAATTCCTTGTTAAAATGAGGCAATAATTTGCAAGATTTTGTAAATATTCTTCATATCTTTTTAGATATCTATTTCAATATTTTCTGACTACTTGTGTGTATAGTAACACTTTTGTGCATGCTTGATGTGACATTCATAAATTTGTACCATGATGAGTTTATCCATGTAAAATAGCTATTTATTGAATTTTTCATTTAGAAGCTGGACTTAATTATTTTTCTCTCAGTTTAAACATTTAAAATGGAGAACTTGTTACTGTTTATTAAAAGAATTGCATTTTGAAAGTCAGCATGAAGATAAGTGAATTGCAACCATATGAAGAAATTATATTGCCTTGGTTCTTTGATGGTAAAGCACAATTCTTATAACAAACTGTGATGAATTCTTTGTCCTCTGCCATACTTGTTCTTCATACAAACAAACCAAAAATCCATAATGGGCGATTGCGGTGTTGGTAAATGTATCCTTTTAATGTACAGGAAATCTGAAGAGGATAGCTGATTCATTTAGAAGTGTAACTTGGTGCTGTGATTATAGCAATACTTTTACTTTGGTTACTTGTGTGTCATCTTCTCATGTTTGGTTTTTAAAGGTTTAGTTTTCCTCTTGTCATGGTCAAAGTACTAAATTGTGTACTATTAGGTCAATGAATTGTGTAATTGTTTCCTGTTTTTAACTTTTAAAACTGAGGATCAAAAATGTGTGAAAACTTCAGTTCAAGTAGAATATAATGATAGTACTTAATTTAACCAAAGTCTTTAGGTGAGTATTTCAACTTTGAATGTAAACTAAATGTATAAACTGACCAACGGGGACACTATTTGCCCAGCACTACAAGCACATTGTCTACAGATGGGAAAACTAAGTACAGTAATTTATAATGACAAGGTTACTATTTTTTTATTCCTATTTTTCATTGGAAGAAGGAAAATACTATCAATTGTAAAATACAGAAGGTATGGTTATAGTCCTCTTAATAAAACAGATTCCAGTTATTCAAAGTACCTTGTGCATAACAACAAATTTTGTGACAATCGGGACATGATTTTAATATCAGATGTTCAAGAGGAAGTCACTCTTGTTGCATTGGTTTCAATATTTGTACATAAACACTGATTTTATTTTTTTTTTTAGCATTATTTTGTATTTGTTGTACTTTAATACCTGGTGTACAATTCCAGAAATAAATGTCTGGAAACCTTTCTTTATTTGTAATGCAGATACATGAAAAGCTTGGTTAACTACTTTCTTTTCAGAAATACATAGCAATACCTCTGAACGCATTTTAAGATACTCTGGGTACTACTGAAGTGCACACTACCATTCTATAAGCAGTTGGGAGAAATCTCAAAAGCACTAGCATTTGTTCTTGCAAGGGACTTCAACTTACCAGATGTCTGCTGGAAATACAATACAGTGGCGAGGAAACAGTGTAGGAGGTGGTGTCTGTGCCCAGACAGCAACTATGTACATGCAGGAATAACCCAGGCTCTTTTCCCCAGCATCTTTTTAGTTGCACTACAGGAACTTCATCCCTTTCTACAGTATGTAAAATTTTTGATTGGGCAGGGCCAGCCCAATTGGCAGATCCTCTGGTGCTGAGTAACTAGCTGACCTTTGCTAAATGTGTATCCCAATGTTTGAAGGTCCCACCTGTTACAGCCCACCCCCCAAGGCAGAAGCAACTTTTGGGTTTCTCTACTAAATCCCTTGGGGTGAATTAAAGTAAATTGATACTAGATTATCAGTGTTTACAGATATATATATATATATAGGATTTATTTTAGAACAATTTGGTTGCAAAGGAAAATGTATGTAGCCATTTTGGTTATGATGATCTATAGTAATATGGCAATATAAAAGTATAAAGATATCATCCAAGAAACTGTGTAAGGGAAAAGAGAGAAAAGAATGAGAGTTAAAGGGAAAAGAGAAGGGAAGAAACAAAAAGTAAGAGTTTATAGTCACCACTCAGAGGTCTTCAATGAACTTTGTTGTTGCTGATGTCTTGAACTGTCGGGGAGTGGTGGGGGAAAGAAGCCCACAAAACATAGTCCCATGGGTTTATACACCCTCAGAAACCTGGTGCTTCCCCTGTGTGGGGAGAGTGCTGTTTTTGCAGTCATGCTGTTTTTCAGAGGCTGGAGGTGATGAATTTTGTATAGTCATTTAGGCTTGGGGGGTGCTTCAGAGGCACCCCTGCTAAGAGACCTTCTCTGGGGTAGTGGTGGGTGTGTGCACACTGGGCCTCCTTTGACATGACCTGACTCACAGGAGATAAGCATCACACACCTAGAGATTTGCCCCTAGGACCTCTATAAATCAGTTTGTGGATTATGGCTTCCTCGCTTCAACCTTATCTTCAGTCCCCTGGTAGGAGGATTGCACAGCTTGCTCCAGTAGAAATGTTTTAAGGCAATTAAAAAATCCAATTCCTCACACCACCCCATGACTTAAAATATAAATTTTTCTTCTGTTACTCTCTCCAAATCTTCTTCAAGGGTGGTGACTTTCACATAGTGGACAGAAGGAGAAAAGAAAGAGGAATGGGGAGAGATAGTACGGATGATCATACAATGGACAATGGACAATGGCTATACCAATCAATAAAAGTATAAAACCAATAAACAATGACATTTTTTTTTTTACTAACCATGTTCCCCACCCAGTGAGTCCCAGAGATACAAAAATGGATTGTAACCAAGAGCTTGGGGGTCCATCAATTAAACCAGTCTTTCAGTTGTATTGCTTGGAAGAGTTCTCCAGTCTGGTCAGTGATCTTCATTTTCCATCGTGCTTATAAATGGTGATACAGCATTCTCCTTCACTCAAATTTAACATTCTGCATATACCATGTTCTTTTAACAATAAAATATCTAAAACTAATTGGTTTTGTAATGCTATCTTTGAATTCTACATTCAGGAGCAATCCAAACACCATCATGAGTTCACCTTTCCAAAACTGCCTGTGTCTACTGATGCTGAAGACTGTTAGTACCTCAGGTGATCCACTTCATAGGAGTACATCAATAGCCCAGAGCTGAAACCTGTTAACATTTCTGTCCACTTTTAAATAGTACTTGACCCTGGTAACAAGGAGACATGAATTATACTTTGTAGTATCATAAGCAACTACAACTTGAGATGTATAGCCTGCTTACTGCTGTGAAACAGTCTGCATGATTTACAAACCTAACAGAAGGACTATATTTAGAAATAATGAGCATTTAGGACTCAAGTGTGTGTGGGGTGGGATGCCACATTCTACCATCAGTTGTCTCTAAAATGAACCAAAAAAATCTAGCAAAATAACCAATAATTCAGCAATTGATATTCAAAAATTAACTAACTACATTATGTGTTGGTACCTAGGTGTAAGCTTACATAAATTAACCCATATGCAAATGAAGTAACATGTGAGGAGGGTGATAACAAAAACATTTATCAATCAACTTCATAGAATGAGATTAAAAAAAGTGATATGCTAACACAACCTTGACTACATGCTATGACCCATCCAAGCCTTACTTGGTGTTCTTATGAACAAGGTACTTTATTATGACAAAGGCCTCCAAATTACTCTTTACACAAGTTTAGAACCTGTTAAGAGATACCTAGTAAAAGTAATGTTATGAGCTCCTTAGTCGCTGTTCTTTCTCAGTCTCCCTTCTCTGTCTAGCCACCTACTTCCATAAAGCTTGTATCTTTAATACTGCTCCTGATCTGAAATTTTAGTTAAAATCTGCCAATGAAGTGAAAAGTTCTTGGGAAAACAAGATAGAACATGACAGCATATATCTTTCTTAGGAAACCAGCTTTAAAAAAATCATAAACAGCTAGTATTTGGGAATTGATTTTTGGGTGAAGAGAGAAAGCAAACCTCAAATCACTGCATAAACTCCTAAGTTTGGATCTGAACTCTTGCCAAAAGTCTGACATTTTGAACCAGACCCACCAAAGCAATGAAACAAGCAGGATAATTAATTTTCTGTCTCAAAACCTTGCAAATATTTTTCCAGTAACAGAAACTGAGCACTTATATGCTGCAAACTGAAATAGGGAAATAGAGGGAAATGGCACAGTACATCAGGCTAAACCTCAACCTTTGCTGGCTCAAAGTGTTTTGCTGCCATCTTCTGGACTTTCTTGGCAATGTCATGGAAGAAAGGTAGCAATTCAAAACTGAAATGTTGAATTTCAACAACTATGTGCTTTGTAGCCTAAAGACACCATGGAGAAAAAGACTCCAGACCAATTTAGTGTATAAGATAAAAAGAGGGGGTCCTTTAATCATTCTTCAGGCCCAGGGGAATACACATGATGCGTGTGCACCCAGACAGTGGTTCTATGATTTTACAATAAGATCCATCCAATCCCAGATCTGTCCACCCCCTGGTTCTGCCCAGTTCTGCCCCCCTGGCATGTCCTTTTGGGAATTGGATCTGGGGGCATTTGGGACCCCTTCTTCCTCATCTTCATCTTCTTCACAGCACATATCATCCTTGGAGGTCCTCCAAAATTCTGACCTTGAAGGTTACTGTGTCTGTGTGATATCTTCTGGTCCAGGTGTAGGGTGTGATGTTCTTAAACAGAGGTGTTTTTCTACAATTCTACCTTGAAAACAAGACTAAACACACTAATAGAATTTAGGGGTATTGGTATGAAATGGGGTAATAGGGTTGGGTATGTGTAAACTGCTACATTAAAGGGTAAGGGCTATAATACAGCTACATTAAAATCCACATTTACTACACAACTACTTCTAAAATCTACAAAAGTTAAAAAATCCAGAAAGCTCTGAGGCATCAGTCCCTCCTTTAGAGATGGACAAAACTCAGTCTTGTCCAATCTCTACCACTCATACCTAGCATTATATCAAAGGGATGACCAACACTCATGCCATGAGCTATTACACAAACACTATGTACATCACTAATATAAACAGTTGTTTTATCCAGGTCCAGTTCAGTAACTATGAAGTAAGTTTGTGGAGGATGTCTCCAAAACCCGATGTAGAATTTAAACTTTTAACCAAATTCATAGCGCAAATCCAGCACTCATTTTCATGAAGAATATTGGATACATTTTTACTAAAACCAAATGCAAATTTTGGTTCCAAACCTGAATCATAGTTACCACCTGTACAGATAATATGTACAGAAGAAATAGTCTAAACCACATCCTCGGTGTTAGGTTCTGATTTACTAGTTGTTCCAGGAACTGAAGTTTTCTTAACTCTGGAGTAATAAAACCAGGATCCTTTGCCAGCAACTTGGACAACAGTGAGGGAGGTCAGCAGGACTAGGAATGGTCCTCTCCACTTGGCTTGCAGCAGGTCACTGTCCCATCATTTGATGTAGACCCAGTCTCCTGACTGGAATTGATGAGCAGGGGTGTCCAATCCTATGGGTCTGGATAACTTGAAAAATCTCTGAAGTTTCTGTAAAGTAGAACCTAGGACCATTAAACACTTTTGTAAATCAATTTTCCTTCTCATGTGAACATCCCCTGGAGTATGCGGAGCTTGATATGGTCTCCCACATAATATTTCATAAGGATTTATCTGTAGCTATTATAGCTAGAACCAAAACCTGAACCCATGACATGGACTTTTCCTGACAAATTTTACCAATTTGCATTTTAGAGTACCATTCATACGTTCTACTTTACCACTTGCCTGAGGTCTATAGGGAGTGTGGAGGTCCCAAACAATTACAAGGACACTACAAACCTCCTTCACTACTGTTGCAATAAAGCGTGTCCTTCTATCTGATGACATTCCTGGAGTGTCATGGTTTGGATCTGGTTCCCTGCCAAGTCCCCGAATCCACACCAAAAGTCTCCCCTCCCCACCATGAACACAAGGGAAAAGAGGGAAATGAAAAGCTACCAAAAAAATGGAATGACAAAACCAAAGCAGTATATATATATATAAATTTACACTTATATAGAATTGCAAAAAAGAATTATTTACATCTAAGAAAGAGAAAACTTGAATACACCCAAACTAAAACAGTAAACGAAAACTGATATAAGCAGATATCATCATCATCATGACTAGGTTTCGCGAACAAAGATTTGAGAAGGGCTCTACCCACGCTTGCTACAAGCGCGTTGATGGTTATAAAGGCCAATGCAAGATAGACAAGTCCGGTTGCAGAATGTACAGCAGAAAGACTCCCCAGGTGATATCGACAAGACGC